ACTTGCCCTCATAGCAGATGGACTCATTGAGTAATCTACGGGTTCACACCGTAAACTGTAACCATTGCCCCATGCAGAAGCCCATGCTTCGTAGAAGATCCACGTAGAGAACAGAACTTGAAATAAATTGTAATAGATTAAAGTTTTTCGTAGCTGGAAGGGTTTACGGTTTCTCATCAGCCAGGGTCCCAATATTTTTACTATAAAAGCATATGATAGACATATAGTTATCGTAGGTAATGGACTACTCATCAGGAACCAGTCTTTAACCCTTTTGTCTGAAAACATAAAATTAAAAATAATAATTATTTCTCGTCCTTCGGAATGCATATTCATTAACATATCGAATTTGTCTAATAATTTAACTTTCATTATTTTAAGACATAACTATTAAAATATATTATCGTTTTAACTAAATCGTAATATTGTATCTATTTATTTGCCAATAATTTACAAAAATACTAGTCACGTGCTAACAAATCGCAAGGTCAGTTCTACAAATTTATTAGAATAGTTTTACATATACGTATCTCATATCTCTCGGGGACTGGAAACGATATTAACCAGTTTATCCTCTTATTCCCATTGGCCGTGAAATAAAAAAACTTATATACTCAGAAGTATAATAAATATTATATTATTTTATACAATATACAGGTTTTATATCGAGTTGCAGATTAAAAAATGCTTTCGAAATTTTTAAAATAAAAAAATGATTTGATGTCGTGAAAATAATTTGTTTTGTCACTACCAGACAGTACAGTTATTAAATAAAACATATTTTACAATAGAAAATTGTGTTATTAATTCAACATCTACCTATGTTTACAAAATATAGTTTGGATCATTTAGGTTTTCTTTAACAAAATGTTTTAATATTATTGTTTGAACACTAATTATTAATTGTTAATTTAGAGAAATTAACGTTTTAGTCAGATTAAATTCTTTAAATTAATATAATTATTTCATTTTATGACCTATTTTTAAAATATAAAAAACGTGTGATTATAATAGATAAAATTTTTTAACAATTAAAAAATTTAATAAATCTTTTAATTCAAAAAACTAATTTTTTTTTTAATATATTTTTAAAACTTTCATAAAAACAAAACTCCATAACAATTAAAATAAACTAATTGATGCAGTATAAATATTAAATTGATAATTTTTAATAATTAATTATAAATATATGTGAAAACTACTGACCGCTATATTCGTTCATTATGATGTTATAGTTCTCTGTGATAGAGTTCCACATTTTAGCGGCTTTAATGGTATATCACATATATTTGAAACCTGCAACAAAAATAGTAAAATAAATAAATCAATAAAAAAAATCTGTCCTTAACCTTTTTTCTAAATGAACGTGTGCCTCCTAATGTACTAGGTATGAAATCATTAAACAATCAACCGAACTATCTCGGGGTTTAAAAATGTTCTAGTGTAGGTTTATGTTTAAGATTCTAGCGGTAAGCCACGCGCTTAAATATTGATTATACAACAATGATTTGCACAGAAAAATACCATCGGTTAGCCCCAGTGTCTAACCGGGATTTTACAACCTCATTTGAAATAATTGTATTCCATATTTACGTATTTTCGTAATTAAATACTCTCCTAGTTATATGCATGGGAAAAAAATCTATTATCTTCATCGTATGCAATTAATTATTTATTTTATTCGAGAAAATTAAATCCTTATTAATATATTTTCAGCAAGACTGTATATTTACGAACAAAATTAATAAAAAATTGTCGTATAATACGTGTTAACACATTGATAGCGTGTTGCATTCGATATAAGCCGGGTTACGGTTACTTAGTTAACGCAGACATTATCGCTGTACAGATAGTCTCTCCGGCACGTGTTTATTTTTGACACACGTCGTGACAATCGTCAACAATGTTACAAAACGCACACACGCGCGGGCGCGAGACTTAAGTCGTTCCCTCTCCCCCCCCCCCCCAATCATATTATTATTCTGTGATCAACATCGTTGCTGATGCAACTACTATAATGTGCACAACTTATTATCTTCGGCATGAAAAAAATATTATTATTATTATGATTATTATTGTTATTACTATCGTTATCTATTCCGAAGATTCGAATCGAACCATCCTTGGAGACAAATGCTTTCAAAAAAATAAAAATAAAATACTAGCCAGTAAACGACTTGCACAACTCATCGGACACCGAAGACCTGTTAGCGTGCGATTGTGAATTCCACACGTACCACGCGTGCATGTACGATACATCATAAACGTCGGTGCACGCGGTGCTTGCAATGTATAATAAAATATATACATGTACAATGAAACCTGTCTAAAGCGAACCCTGAATAAACCTGTCTCCAATGGGAACGGTATCTGTAGTCCCTTCACAGATTCTAACATTTGAATACTACACCGGATAAGCCGGAATTCATACGTCTAAATCGGCGTCAGCGTTATGTTATTCGTTGGAAACTGTTAAGGATTTTTGCAAGGCAATCATTACGCGGTACGTTTGTGATTTGTTCGCTCTAAATATCACGTCGTGAAATATTGTTTCACTAGTACAACGAACACTGACATAATATTTTAAACGTATTCAAGCGAGACGTCTGATAACGTTTTCCACAACGCGAAACTTCCATCGTTGTTATTATTATTATCATCACGAGCAACCCATCGTATTATGATCGATCTGGTAAAAATATCATGTACTCAACATTATAATATTATTAATAATATACAACACGAATCAGCAGTTGCGTTATTGTATATTATAGTATCAATATTTATTACAGTTGAAAATCGAGCGGACACATTTTTTATTTCTTCAAAATAAATAATCAACAAGAATAATCGATAATTTGGATTTTGAAGCACATATTAAGCGTTTATCTAAGACGGATGATAAAACTCGATTGATTCTCTTTGAACCGATTTGCAAGATTATATAATTTCTCCGGTGAAACAATGATGTAAGTCCAAATTTTTTTTACTAAAATGACATAAGTACGACAACAGTATTGAAATATATCATATTTTATCCAATACAACAATAACATAAATGTAAAACCTTTTACTAAGGCTAGGAACTTTAGACTTTTACATATTTTTTTTTTAGAAAGCGCATATTGAAATTTTGGTTCGATAAAAATTGGATCCATAGTACACGGATTCCAAATGCAAACATTTTTGTTACATAATTCTGAATTTTTTGTAGGAATTCGTAGGGTTTTCTTAAGTTTAAGAACTTTTATATGCATATTTCATATATTTAACGAAAACAATTTTTTTTTTTACAAACTTATAGTTTAACAAAAAATATTAGATATATCAAAACCAAAAATCCAATAAATTTTATATCGCTTGAAAAAAATAAATTAAGTCATCAATGGCTATTTTAGTATTAATCCCAATGTATTAAACAATAATGTTATAATCTCCATTCTTCTGAGAAACCGAAATAGTGATCGCCGATCTGCCAGAATTTATTTTTATCAAAATTGATCAAGATATTTTTACTGTACCATCATATAAAGTGTAAATAATCAGTATTTGTACATTTATACTCAATAATATTAAAGATTTTTTGAAAATTCTATAGCTTAAACTACAATTAAACTATAATTAAGCTACACACTTATATAACAGGAAGACCTAACAATACACAAGTGTGCATCGTTTATTTATTATTTTTTT